TTAACATCATCTTATGCTGCCTGAGTTCGGTAAATGTTTCTCAGAGGTCACTTAGATGGTCGACCGACCTTTTTGACTTAACAATCATATCATCAATACAAGCCTCCATGTTCCAGCCGATTTGATCTCTGAAGACCGTATTCACAAGTCTTTGAAATGTTGCAAGGCCATTCTTCAGGCCGAACGGCATAACTTTGTAACAGTACAGCCCCTGCTCGGTCACGAATGCTGTTTTTTTCTTGATCTTCTTCCCATAAAGGGATTTGGTGAAAACCAGAGTATGCATCCATAAAGCTCATTAGGGCATGCCCGGCTGTTGAATCAACAATGCGGTAAACTTTAGGTAAGGGGAAGTTATCCTTAGGGCGCGCCTTATTGAGATCACTGTAATCCACACATATCCGCCAAGTTCCATTCGGCTTCTTGACTAGAACTACATTGGCCACCCAGTTAGGGTAATAACACTACCAAATGAAACTTGTGCCCATCAACTTCTTTACATAGACTGAGGCCGCTTGATTCCTCTCTTCACAATGATTTCTCATTTTCTGCCGGACTGGACTTACGATCAGATTCATAGCCAACTTATGGACTGCTAGGTCTAGGCTTATACTCAGCATCTCATGAACCTCAAAATCAAATACATCTCTGAATTCTCTAAATAAATTCAACAAGTCATCTCCAAGCAAGCCTGTGGCCATAGTGCCCACCTTGACCATTTGATCAAGCTGGTCTAGATCTAGCACTAAGTCCATATGATCGCCGGCCGGCTGCGGCCTCAACTCTTTTGGCCAGCCGACGATCATTAACTTTTACGCTTGCTATTTATTGATTGACTTGATGGGGTTGAAAAGAGATTTCCAGCGATATATTACAAGCCCAAATCCGACTTAAAACGAATAAGTTATGACCAAAAACTAAAACTAACCCAAACCGAGCCTAAGTCCACCTCTAGTACGACCCAATGATTATATGGAGCCAAATATTTTATTTAAGCCCTATATGATAATATTTCTAATCCTAAACCAGTTAGGTACATCTAGAATCCTCTAGAAGGTTCTAATATATCCTTTCCGAAAAGATAAAGATCAAAGAGTTCGAGATCAAATAAAACTTCTCTATTTTATAATCCCTATCCAGTTCAAACTCAAAGACGTTCTGAAATATTTCACAAACATAATTCCATAATCAAATAATCCCCCGTGCCGAATCAGATTATCTTTTTAACCATCGTGCGACGATGAGTCCATCGCACAGTGATAGGCCTATCGCGGCGCGACAGAACCCAGCGCAGCGCGACAATCCTGTCGTGTCATGTCAAAAACAATTTAATTTCCTTTCAAATTCTAATCTTTTTCTAATCGTTCGACTCTCTTTTTTCCTTGTAAATAGAGGTCGTTTTCCCTTATTCAAGGCATGAACAATAACCATTAATAAGTTACAACCATCACATATTCTTAGCTCCAATCATCATCAACAATCCTTATCAAACACCTGTGTTCTTAGCCTTAGCCTAAACACAATCCTTGATACTCCCCAAAACAAATACAATACTTCCTTTACGTGATTCGAATACTGCAAACCATACTCAGCGTTGCCTTTGTGAAAGGTTGATGGTTCTGAGGGTTTGGTCCCAAATATATATTTCAATTCATATTTGATTTATTTACTTTCTTGAATTAACTTTCTTGAAGTTTACTAACATGTGTATTATTTTTAATAGCAAGAAGGTTGAGGCATCAAAGTAAGTAATTCAATTACTTAATTATTCTTTTGATTTGGGAGTAGAAATCATACTTAGGATGTTGATTTTTATTGCTAGTATCATGTTTAGGAAAGCTTTGATTTTGTTTTTAGTGACATGCTAAGATTTGTTATTAATCTGTTTAGTATCATGCCTAGGATCTTACTTCTAACGATGTTTTAATGATGTTTTATTATGATGATTGTTATATTAATCATATGTTGCTTGATTATTCATGATTTATTGCTATTTCTTGATCACACCCCTCTTTGCAGGTTTGAAGGGAATTTGTACTTGAAATCCGATTAAGGCTTAATATGATTTTAATTCAAGTGATCACCAATAATAGATTTTATTGTGCATTAATAATACACCAGGCCAACGTAGATTAAACATGTTTAGGATTAACTTGATGTATGAATGTTGATCGAAAAGCGCACATGAATATCATAAGACTTAAGTATAGGCCTATTTAGGGCGGGTTCAATCACTTTTTGGTTGGATTCGTACCATCATCCCCGAACATCCAGTCATAGTTCCGGACCACCATGGAGTTAGCAATATATGTGATTGACACTCGTGAACGGTTTACAAGTTCTTAAAACTTGCTTGCGACTCTTTTTCTCTTTCTTTTTCTTGGTGCGCCACCATGCTTAAAAACATGAACCACAGTAGGGCAAAGTTAAAATTCCCTACAATGTGGGATTATCTTCTTAGCACACTATCATGTTGTGGGGTTTGAGAAGTGTGGAGAACGGTTCAAGAAGGCTAAGGGGGTGCATATCTTTGGTGTTAAGCTATGGATTGTTTGCTTGGTGCAAAGCAACAATGAAATGTAGGAGCTGACTTCAAATGGGAATATCTCAAGATCTAGAAATGATATTGAGATGATTCAAGTTGGAGGTGATAGCTCGTTGCAAGAGCCTTCCAACGACTAGTCATATGCTTGATTTGGTTAAGAATCGAGGGAATTATGGCCTTTTTTTGAAGAGATGTCCGCGCAGTACGGAAGTTCGACCGAATTGTTGAAAAGTTCGGTCGAACCATTTGAAGGAAATCAAGTTTTGCTACTGACTTGAGGGTTTAACCGAAGCTCTTGGAGGTTCGACCAAACCACCCCTGGTTCGACCGAACTCTGGGTAGGTTCGGTCGAACCGGCTGCCCCTGTTCCAGTGATGCGATTTCTTTTATTTCGCTCGGGATATAATCTTAGGCGTTGATCTTGTTGAACTATATATACTATTGTTTTGTCATTGTAGAGAGAATAATAGGATGAAGGAAAAAATGTAGAGAGAGAAAGCCTCAATGTAAACCCAAACACTTAGGGTTTGACTGTTTGAGAGGGTGAGTTTGGGGTGGGAGCTTTCATGGTGAATTGAAAGCTTGTAACCTACATTGTTCTTCATCAAATTATTACTCCATAATGGATTGGTGGGTTTTTCTCCCAATTCTTGAGTTTCCCACGTTAAATTCTCCTTGTCTCATTTATTACTTGTTTTTCCGTCTTTGTTGTTGTTAATTGTCGTTAATCGCAAACTAGCTAGCACATTCGTTAATCCCTTTCACATGCGAGGCCCAAGTCCCATGGCCTTGATGTTGTTTATCGTTCCCTTGATTGGGCCTCTGAAGCCTACCCTTCGCACATTGCCCACGTGTAAGGCCATTGGGCCTTTGCTCGAGTTTACGTACCTATGTCGTCATGCCAGATGATCTTTCGACTCGTATTTTGATGTGGCTTTGGTTTTGGCGCGTCTAAGCATAACGTTTACACTTTGATCCAATTGTTACTTCCTCCGTTTCATACTTATCTTCCCAGTTGACGAAACATAGGGAATACTAATCAAATAACTTATTTGGGATTTCAGCCCAATCCATCTTAAATATTGATTTCATTTAAGGCATTATGTGTGATCCAATAGGCTCAATCAAGAGTAAGCTATGAGACTAATAAAATATTTTCACACCAATTTAATATTTTTATTACTTGATGATCACATCTCACTAAATAATTACTCCATAATTATCTGAACCAATTATTGGAATAACACATTTGGCCTATGGACACATTTCTCTTCATGTTGTGCCTAACATTGTATTTCGAAGGGATATGAGTTTTGTTTGGATTGGTTTTAAATTATATGGAGGTTTATTTGGATTCAATTTAATTGGAAGGTTTGTAGATATTGTTTTTCAACTCATTTCTCGGAACGCATTTAGTGTGCGATTGACCACATTATGTGATCGCTTATAAAAGAAAAAAGTAGTCTCTACAATACTGACCGAGTAACTTTTGTAACACTGACCGAGTAAACTCTATAATACTAATGAAATAACCCCTAAGATAACTAGCCACACAGTTTGACCAAAAGCTGGTGTTTCCTAACAACTGAATTGAACGAATGTTCATCAAATTTTTTGGTGAGACATTAAGTGTCTATAGTGTCTCCCTATCATAGAGCTCAATGGCAAGTCACTAAACCGCTACCATCGTTTTTCTTGAATGTTGACATTGCTTAACTGACGAGCTATATGTATGGATATCCGTTCTATATAACTTTTCATTCATATATAATAAGCCCCAATTCAAATTTGTAAAGAAAATGTAAGCAAAATACTAGAATTGCACTCTTTGGGATATAATTCAAAATTCATTAGGGCTTGTTGAGTTAAGTTTAATTTCAGTTTAGTTCATTTCAGCTTCAATTAATTTAATTAAATTCAGTTAAACTTCAATCAGTCAGTTCAGTTCTTTTGCTAATTTATTTATGTTATATGATTTAACTAATGATATTGTTAATGACAATTTAGTTTAGGCATGCCTTTGAGCTGATGTTTTTAAGTTCATCTTTATGGCTAATAATATTGCTAATGATAATTAAAGTCAAATTTCATACTTTTTAGTATATATTACAACGACGACGACAATAATGCGATGTGTTTTTGTTTTGTTTTGAATGGAAGTGCGTAGTTTTGGGTCTTTGTTTCCTTTTTTTTTTTTAGATATTTTCTTCGTTTTATTTTTGGTTTATTTTGTTTCATTTTTGAACAGTCAAACTATTACAGTAGATTAATTTCACAAGCATCAAGTAACATACAAAAAAAAAATTTTAAAAAAAGAAAATCCTATTACTGGATTAATTTTGAACTTCATTTTATTTTACACAATTATTAATTGATAAATATCATTACTAATCTATAGTTAAAAATCATTAATCCATAGTAAAAAGTTTCAATTCAATTCAGCTTAGCTCCAATCAATTTAGTTTAGTTCAGTTTAGTTCAAACTTGTTTTCAGTAAATCGGAAAAAGCCCGTAATTATATCTTTACAATACCATTTAATTTGGAAAGTAGACTTCTGTAGGCCACTTGTTTTGGTGATGACCTGTAATCGAAGGAGCCTTCCCAACTGAAAATTTTGGAGGTCCAAAGTGCTCCAATCTTGGTTAATGTCTCCCAATAATGTATCAGTTCATGTTGAAATTGCACTTCGAACACCCTTACTAGTATACAATAATAGAGATACAAAAGAGTTGGGGAAATATGATCAATATAATGAGAATTCGTGGATGCCTTTTCTACAACTCGAACTCATGCCCTCTTGACACTTCTACAACTAAAAGAAAACTAGCAAAAGAATATGGGGGGAGGGGTCACTCAAAAAACAATTACAAATGAATATGGAATGCGGTTGTACAATCAGAGAGGATTACATAACCCACATATGTAGGTTCCACATAACTGGGCATCGGTTGAACAAAATTCCTTGCTGCCAATGCTAAATAACTGTACACAGGCTGTGACACGGCATCTACTCCTAAGACTTCTTATCAATACAATCGTAGTGATCAAGTGGTCATCTAGCAGCTGGAGTCTTGCGTGGGTGTTCGTTTTTTTTTTGACCAACTATCTTTAACACAACATGCCTTGACTGACCAATCAATTTGACATCCTTCGCCTTTTTTTTCCAATAATAAACAATATCTCCTGAATGTATCTACGTTTACTTGAAGCCTAAAATCTATGCTAAAGAGTAATTTCATCTCCAACCTGTTTATTTCAGAAGTGCTAATACCTCCAACTTTGGCATAGTATGCATTGTTAAAGGATCTGCAGATCAAGGAAAATTGTATTACTCAACAAGGCAATGCAACTAGCAAAGATATATCCAGATTGTTTCTCATGTCAACCATAGTTGTCTATAAGACATTACTTAAGACGTATCCAGCAGGAGAAATGGATGATATCATAGTAGGTAACATTACATAGTATAGAACAATAAGTATGAGATCTGAATGAAATTATATTTAAAGCCAGTACATTATAAGAGTAATCAAGATGATTTTAGCATTAAACATTCCTGTACGACCAGAGAACTTGTATTTTCATTTTCATATGGGTATATAACCCAGCAACCACCCCACACCCCTGCTAACTAAAGCAGGAGGAAAAGAGAAACCATCAATCTGCATTATCCTTACCATTGGGAGAATCACCTGTGACTCTAATAGAGAAGTTGAAAATCGCAAGAATTAATAGAGAGCTTGATCAGCTTTGCCTTAATTTGTTATAACAGAAGATGGATCAAGGACGCATTTAGCAGGGTAAAGCTAAAAAAAGGCACTATATCAAATCAGTATCTCATTAAATATATAACTCCTACATAATCATGATTAGATCCATAAGAAGGTAACTGGAGCAGACAGAACATTCTCCTCCCCTATATTATTATTATGAGCTGTTAGTTTCCTGAACTACAAGTGAACTGCAAGTGATGGTTAGGCAGTTACGTAAGTTTCATCCATAGATAACTTATGCTTCCTCCATCCATTCTTTTTATAATTGCAACAAAGGGAAGATAATGTTTCCCAAAGCACAATTTTAATCTTGAACATCTGTAAATAAAATTTACACAAATTGATATTTTGAATATCAAGACGAATTTATTAAGATCCTAGTTCCCACATGAATATGTTTTTTCTTCACATATAAATTACAATAGATAGTAAAAAGAGTGTGAATAGTACAACTTTCATTGTTGCTATAATAAAAGAATGGAGGAAGTATTTGGAAAATACAAATACCAAAGCAAGCATTTAGGATGGAAGTTAGAAAGTATCATGCTACACTTAAAAGAGTATAACTTAAATAGATGTTTCACTTCATTTGTCAAAAAAAATTATTTGAAAATGGGCAGGTGGAAGCTTTAGTAAGCAGCATTATTGCCCCTTCAATGATAAGTTTTTAGACCATTTCTGACTGTATGAGCACATCAAAGGGTTCGCAAAGGTTTTAACGATAAGAATATAGGTTGTGTGATATTTTTGCTCCCTCAGCTCCTATTACGTAGTTGAACTGTTTTTTTTCCCTGTCACATATTGTGCTTCAATTATCTGCTTCTCAATGTTTTAAGTGTATATTGTAACTAAAGCCCTATAATAAGCAAGTGATGGAATATTGTGAGCAGTACTAGGTACTACTTGTTCTTTGGTATGTTTTAAGACGAACAAATTGAGAAGAGTGTGGCATGAAGGCCAAGAGCAGATGAGACATGAACAGGAATATGGATTTGGATTAATCCAATTGGAAAGTGAAAAAAATTGAAACAATGCTTTGAATGGATGCATAATTTAAGATAGTGCCTAGTCATTTAAGAAAAATATAGAAATTTTCCTTTAAGGGGAGCTTGTCTCTAAACCATGAACTAAAAATAGATCCACAACTAATTTCAGACGTATTCAGTACAAATCATCTTATACTAAAGAATTATGAGTGCTCAAGGGGGAAAATAAAAAAAAATAAAAAAATTTACTCGTACAAGACAGTTAAATCATCATTTCCTCTTATACTAGGGAGGTCTCACTATTTACTGCTAAACTTACTCGAGTAATATTCACAAAAACCTAACCCACTTTAGCCGAATTTCAAGGTTGGTATGCACAACAAAAGTGTGCTGTGTAACCATAGTTGTTAAAATCCCGATTCGGATCTTACGATCCTACGATTCTACGATCCAAAATTGCGTGATCGATCCGGATTTTTGGTAGGATCTTAAAGTTTGTAGGGTCTTACAATCCTATTCCGATATTAATTTTGAGTGGTAGGATTTCAACACGATCCTACGATCCGAGCCAACATTTTACTATAATATGAGACTTTGATTTATTTTGACACATTGTTTATTACTCATTAGGTTATATGCACCTAAATTTAATGTATTCAATAATTATCGCTAATAAATTAGCGAATCCGAGACATTAATATGATTTTATCAATTGACAACTTGCAATTATCATAGTTAAGGTCTCATTTTTGACAAATTTGCACATAATTTATTAATTTAAAGTTGTGTTATTAATCTTCTAACTACCATACAGACAAATCTAAATGAAGATTGACCTTTCTTAAGTAAACCAATGTCTTTTAGCATTGAAACCCCTTAATATTGCATAATATATAATATTATTCGTTATTAAGTAGGATCTTACGATCCTATGATCCGATTTTATCGATTCGATCCCACCCCCCCTCATCGATCCAAGGTAGGATCCCGATCCTAACAACCTTGTGTGTAACTATATCTGGAGGCTTTAGATCACATTTTATTTCATGTGCATTTACTAAAACTATTATGTCAGAGATACATCTTTCCACTTTAGGTTGTGTTAAAAGCTCTCAGCTACAGTTTCCTATCAAGGTCAAAGGTCCTTCGTGGTTTTAACAATCTTTTGGAGCTATTGTGGGATCCATTATCTATGTGATGTGAGAATCCATTAATAGTAGGATCACAGAAATGAAGCCTTCACTTCTTTAACAGTCACAAGGAAGATTTGGTTAAATGTGTTTGTTAGTGGCTTTTTTCAACTGAAACAACTACTTCAAACGACTATGTCTACGCGATTAAGTTACTTTTTCTTAATTGAATGTCCACATCACCAGCCTACTGTACAGAGTTGTCTCTGATCACAATAATGCATTTTACTAGGATGTATTTCAATATGATGCAGCACAAAGTTTTGGATGTATGACAGACATTAATTCATAAGAGTGGTGCAGTACTTACGCGTCGTCAACAAATTTTGCAGCCACCATAACACTAGTAACTAGAAGCCGGTGGATATTGAGAGAAGTTAGGTGAGTCTTCGTTTGTTGGAGGTATCTATCCACATAAATATATGCCACGATGAAACAGGATGGACTACACCCTGCATACTTGAACATTCGGTCAAAATACTGTTGAATGCTGACAGGTGGGGCTCTTAAACCATGAAATACAGTAAGGTCATCTTCAATTTGTGCTGTCTCCAACAATGTTTCATTCTTTTGGACATAATTATCAAGAAGAGAAGATAGAAGTGACAAGAATCTCGGTGTTCTCAATGATCCTTTTCCATTCTCTTTCAGACCCAATTTAAAATAAATATCTGATCCAACATCATCAGCATCAAAGGCCAGGGCTCCCATCTTGAGGCATAGCTGCATTGATTAAAAGAAGAATGTAAGAAAACCATTTTAAGAACTTAATCTTACCATCAAGTCTAAATCAAAAGAAACCCTGACTCCATCACACTATACATGTGATATATATATTTATGACTACTCCTTTCAGTAAATGCATTATCAGCAGCACAGTTGATGCTTTTAACCATGAGCATCAATTCGTAGATATGTTTGAGTATGTGATGGATCCTTTTCCCTTTAACCAGATGATATTCCTGATCCTTAGAGAAAGCATCAAATACAAGTTCAATGAATAAGAAAGACGATTTAACGAAACATGAATCATTGAGCAGGAGCATAAACAATTTGAGCTACATTTTACATTTTACTCTAAAATATCCAGTTTCATAAGATTTTTATAAGTGAGCTTCACTGCCTATAAATAAGGAAAACATCTATCATCCCCAATCCAAAGCACCAAAATTTAAGAACAGTCATACCTAATTACATAGTAACTTTTCTAGCTGATACAATTCCAGGTGCATTTTAGTTGGCATATAGATAAGCTGAATTATTATAGATAAGCAGGGTATGGTAATTCAGACCTGCAGCACTAATTACATCAGGGTTATGAGCTACGAAATACGGCGCATAGTAGCATATTACCAATTGATAGCAGACACGAATCAGAGCCGAAACTACATTGGAGAATAATTAATACAGTAAGCAATTGCCCATATTACCTTCAATTTCTTGAAGCTTATTGGTAAGAATTTGATTCAGTGATATCGAAACTACTCCTTTGGTCCATTAAAGGGGCGTATGATCTTCATAACTCTAACCCAGCATACAAACAAGTTCGGGAATTCGATTCAGTGATAACTAGCTAATTATTAATGCAGATAAAAAGGCATTTATATAATCTAAGTAAAAATGAACAAATTGCTAATTCATCAAAAAAAAAATCAACTTACAACAACAATTACCCAAATTCAACACAAATTACACATTATATTCAGCATAACAAGAATCAACAACTACTAACTCAAAACCCCATTAAAATAAAATAAAATAAACCAACCTATGTTTTTTCATAAATAATTCAAAAATAATTTTTGAAGATACACATTAATCTCCCAAAATTTCCAAATAATAATACACTATTTCCATAAATAAATTCAACCACGTCAGCAAATATAACAGATAAACACGACAAATTATCACCCAAAAACACCGACAGTTAGATAAACGTAAGAAAGTACAATAAAAGAAATATTTGAATGCTATAAAAACAAAAGATCCGACCCATCTGAGCTTACGGATTCAGAAGAAATTCGGGTATCAGACAGAGGAATTTGCTGCGGCATTGGCATCTGGGGTAATGGCAGAATTAGAAAGAAATGAAGAAAATCAAATCAAGAATAAAAGAGAAACAAAGAATCAGGGAGTTTCCATGATTCTTGAAAAGGGTAATGTGTAAATTAGTGAATTAATTTCACCAGCAAGAGAGAGAAAGAAAGAGAGAGAGGAGAGAGAAAATAGTAGTGATAATCACTCTCCTCTCTTTCTCTTGGATGTGGATGTGGATGTGAGCTGGGACACTTTACCAGAAAGAGAGAGAATGAGAAAGAGAAAGAATGCTTTCTTTTAATTATTCATTTTTTTTTTTCATTTTAATATTTTTTAAAAATGTATTGTAAATTCCACCGCATTTTTCTCAGTTGCATCTTCTTCATCGCTACTACCGACTGTCTTTTTGTCCACTTTCCTACGGAGTACCATTTTTAATCTGCATATTGGGAGGATTTTTTTTTTAATTTTTAATTTTTAATTTTATTTTTTTTATTAAAAATGAAAGAAATATACTACCTCCCTTTAGTTGAAACTTTGAATATTTTAAGTCTCTCAAATAATACCCCAAAGTTGCAATTAATATTTAACGAAGGTAGTAACATGTTATACTCCCTCCGTATTTTATTACTGACTTTGCTTTCATTTTGTGGCCGTATTTCATTACTTGTTCTATTTTTTTTTTCTGGAAAACTTTAACAATATTTTATTATTTATCATCCCACTAATGGTCCTTATATCATTTTTAATATTTTTCATATTATTTGTTCTACCCACTTAGACCCTGTTCAGATCACCTTACAAAATAATATTTAATAAAAATCAATAGCTCTAAAGAAAAAATATAATAGAGAATCAGTAAAAATAATTTCAGTTCGGCAAAATTACTTCAATTTAGTAAAAATAATTTTAATTCAATAAAAATAATTTAAGTTCAATAAAATTAATTTCAGTTCAGTAAAAATAAATTGAAGTGGACTGGGCCTTATTCTCACTTTTGCAATTTCACACTTTTTTTTTATTTTCTAACAATTCCAATTCTATCATAAAATAATACTTTTACCATTCCTCCTAAGACTCATTGTCCAGAGAAATGGAGCAAGTAATAAAATATAGAGGGAGTATTTATTTACTTTCTCTATTTCTTTATAGTTGCATCACTTTCAAAGAAAGTTGCTATTTGACCAAAAAAAATACTCATGTCCACAATGTAAATGACCTAGAAGTCCCTATAAATTTTTAAACCCTTTTCCCTTGATTCAATCAATGCTTTACTCCATACCAACAACAACACCACCTTCATACCCACCCTCCACACCACCACCTTCTTCACACCCTCCACAACACCACCACCTTCACGACGGCAGCCACCCTCCACAACAAAATCACCTTCACGACCGCAACTAGCCAAGTACCACCCAACAAGGCGAACATGATGACGCCACCCCCATGCTAGGGATGACAATTATAAATGGATATCCAAAAACCCGATCAACCCGATAAAAATAAATGGACGAAAATCAGGGTTGAATGGATGAAGGGCGGGTGACGGATCGGGTCGAATTCGGATGGGGCTCCATTTCATCTGTCACCCGATCTGTCGTCCATTTATCACCCGATCCATCATCCACATATATATATATACATATATATATATATATATACATATATATATATATATATATACATATATATATATATATACATATATATATATATATACATACATATATATATATATATATTTATATATATATATAATCAAGATCATGTGAGAACCAAGTCCTATAATAGGAACTCATCATGACCGTTGATCACTCTCAATTAGACAGCTCACGTTTCACCCGCCTTTTTCAATCTCATTAAGGGAATTTTCGTAATTCGGGCATCAAATGACCTCCATTCTAATTCGCGCACACGCTTCTTTTTTTCTCAGTCCTCTTTAGATTTTCTCTCTCTTCCTCCCAGTTCTTCGAAGAGGCGATTTATTTCTACGCTCTTCCATTTCTTCGCTCTTCAATTTATTCACTTTTGCTCATCAATTTCTCGCGATAATCTGTTTAGGTATGTAAATTTTGGTTTAATTTTGAATTTGCTCGATTTCGAAACATGTTTTTGCGATTTTGATTGCGAAAATTAGGGTTTTTGCGAAAATCTGGTTATGCGGTTTTCGATTGGGAAAATTCGATTGACATGCTTGCTTTTTAAGAGGTAATTTTTTTTATTTTGTTGTTTATTTATTTAAATAGGGTTTTTCATCGATCTTAGAATAGTAGAATTCTACTACTTTGTTGTTGTTTTTGCTTTTTTGATTCAATTATGGTTTCATTACTAATTGCGATTATATTTTAATTCAATTGATTATGACTTGATTTGTTTTATTTGTTACTTTGATGTGATTGTTAGCTGCCTAAAACTCTTTATAATACTTATCTTTTGATCATTTGTGGCCAACAATGGTGGATTTGTCAAACTCTAATACTACTGGAACTGTACGGACTTGATTGGCAAAAGCTATTGTTGTATTTTTCAGAGCTTCTACATGATTATTCTTAAATTAAAGCAATTGAGGGTGACTTGGCTTGGTTTTGTTTGTATATGAGGTGAGGGTGACTTGGTGCATAAGATATATTAAGAGATGCAATTTTTGTAATTAGGAGAAATATTGGTCTTTATGACATGTCATGAGGATATAAAGAAGTTGGTGTAGAAGCTGGAGGGTCGAGTTAGGAGCTTAGAGGAAGGTTCTGTAATGGATGCTGTTTTGGGGTTTTTGGAGTCCCTCGGGAGAGTTACAATTCCAAAAATGCACGTCGACCGTCTATACCTACGAAACCACAGAAACTCCGGTTGGGTGGAGTTTCACCTCCGACGATCAAGTTAGAACGTTTTCGGATGTATTAAAGTGCAGAATGTAAAGGTTTTTCTCTCGGATTCCGAGAGAATTCTGCAATTAATATTGCTCGGGTTTTTTGTGTGTATTAATGAGTGTGTAATAAATGAGGATTTTCCTCTATTTATAGTGAGAGGAGATCAGTTCTTCTTTCATAGGTTAGAGTGCTACGTGTCACTAGAGGATTGGTTCTATTAGAACCTCTCTGATGATGACACGTGTCAACATGCGATTGGTCCATGTGGACAGGGGTATTTTTACCCTAAACATTTTCCCCTCATAGGTGTGACATGGCTTGCCACGTGGCACCTGTGACAGGTGTCATGCTCTGAGAAGGTGTCGTTTCGTCTCCTTCTCTCTCTTTTTTTTTTTTTGAATTCATATTTTAAATTCGAATTAGGGTGGTGACGGTTTTCCTTCTGGGTGTCTCTATAAGTAGAGGACCCCCCCCCTTATTTTGAGAAATTTTCCTTAGAGAAAGGTCTGATACCGACTGCTATTTTTTTTTTACACAACTGTCTTCCTTTTCCTCACTCATCCGGTCACCGTCAGAGTGCTCTTTGTTTAGAACTTGTTAAAACCGCCTGAGGGTCTTTTGTCATCCCTCTTTCAATTCATCCACAACCGGCCAACCATTTGGGGGTCTTTGGACTGGTTATATTTGCTTTCAATACACCCGCAACCAGCCTACCGTCTGGGTATCATCAAGCAAGATTTCGGAGAAATGATTGGGTTGCTTAACAATTTTCAGTTGCTCTTGAAGAGGGTACACGGGCTACCGTCTGGGTATCTAGTAAGCAACAAAAAGATTTCTGGCTGCTGATCCGAATAGCCTACTTTCTCCTCACTGAAAGCATCTTCAAAGTACCGTCTCTACCCCTTGCAACGTTTTTGAGTTTTTCCGGTTTTATAGCTTGTAAAGAATAATGGACTCACCCAACACACACACGGCACAGCCTAGGAGAGTTGTCAGCAGGTCACCGGATACGACTGAGTCTAGGACTGGGGATGCCGTCTGGGGTGTTTGGACCACCCTTACTCTTTTGCGAATCCGACCGTCTCTGTACATGTGCAGGACAAAATGGCTCGGACGAGACGGACGGCTGTAGACCCAGAATACCAGTTAGACGGCTCAGCGGAAGCTTCGGCTGACTTTGTACCTTATGACTAGCCGGGCGTACCTACCACGCCCGGAGATGATACCTTGGATGATTCCGAGGATACAGGCGGCGAAGAGACCGTCAAGCAATCAGACTCTACAGAGTCTACTATGGAACCGGATGCCCCCCAAGAGGATGAGGAGGCATATAAATGGCCCTTTATCAACAATTCGATAGAGGCACACATGACCACTAGGGATATGGTCACTCTAAATGCCACCTTACCCGGATTTTTACAAAAGCGCCCGGTTGGGGTAGGATGGGAGATTGTTGTGCCGGCTGTAGAGGCTTCATCTGGGATGACGACCTTGATCATTCCAATGATTATTTCGGCTTCTATGAGGCGGCATTCAAAGCCGGCCTCCGGTTCCCCCTCCATGATACAATAAAAGTCATTCTAAGGGGTTACGACCTTGGCGTTTGGCAGTTAACACCCAACTCTTGGGTGAATATACTAGGATATATAGCCTCCTGTGAGATGCAGGACATAACGCCTAGCTGGGAGGCGTTTGCACATATGCACTACCTCAGCCGTGCCCCAGGCGGCTGGAATGCATGGTATACATTGACCACACATCGAAATACATGATGACGCTTGACAAGCCGTCAAAGTGGAGCAGGTGGAAGAGCAAGTTTTACTTGGTTTCTTCACCATCGCTGCGTCAAAATCACCGGCTGCGTCGCTACAATACACACCCGACTCTCCTTGGAAATAAATGCACCGAGTGCTGGAAGAGGCTTGGACTCAAATAATGGAGACGGGGCTCTTCAAGAAGACTTCCCTGCCTTTGGATGATGGGACTGAAGTCATTTTCCCCAAGAACTGGGTCCCTCATCTGGACTGGCTAAAGGAAGAGGTGTTCCTTTCCGCCCGTGGCCTTAGCACAATGTTTAGCAGATGTATGTTGATTGTTAACTGGAACTTTATGCCGTTTGTATCATTCTTGAATGGCATTTGATTTTTTTATTTTCTTTGCAGAGAAAGGATTAGAGATGGTGCCTCCTGAGAAGACGCCTGCTAAGTCTGCTGCACAGATCCGGAAGGATCAGTTGAAAAAGAAAAGGGCCCATCTGGCGGCCAAGGATGATGGGGTAAGTGTCGGCTGAGCTCTTTTACCGTTTGCATGGTTTAATGTCAACTCTGTTATTAACCGTCTATTTTGTTTTCTTTTGCAGACGGGGAACAAGAATGTTGCTCGTTCTTTAACAAATATGTTGAAGAGACCAAGAAAGGAGCCCTCCCAGCCTGTTTCTAAATCCAGAAGGATTCCGGCTGCTCCTGCCTCTACTGGAAGGCCGCCTATGCCTGAGAGGCCCACCTCAGCAGGCAAAAGCCTGAAAGACCTTGGCCTAAGCACAGGGTTGGCTGAGGTTGAAGCGAGGGAGCCCGAAATTCCCTCAAGTCGGGTGCTTGTTGTAGCGTCTGGCTCCAATGTGGCTGGGGGTGGGATGACCCCTCAGCCTG